CCAGTTGTTAGCCATTTTTCAATTTCTCCTCCTTGTAGTATATTGTTGAACTGCTTGGCAATGAGTGGGTGTATAACAGTTAGATGTTTCAAACAAAACCCATGCAGTTCATCTTCACCTGGTGCTGACCAATTTTTGATTTTCCTTGCTCTTTTTTCTACCATTTTTGTTGTTATTACTAGTTCTTTCATTTCAACTTCTGTTTTATTTGCATCCACCTCTTTTAACACAAGCACACAAATCCTTTTTGGTATTTGCTTTGGGTTATCCGATATCTGATTTCCAAACTGCACTGTTTCTTCCTTGCGGTACTGACTGATTCCTTGCAGTTTCTCCATTGATTGGTTGTAGAAACTTTCGATTGGATTGAATGGAAGTTCTGCCTATAGTTTGCAATTCGAGCTTCATATCTACTGATTTTCCTGGCTATAGCTGTTATTTGTTGCTTTATTATTTCCAGTGCTTCCTTGATCTTCCTTGTTTCTAAGTGGTATTTCTTGATTAGGTATTCTTTTGTCTTCTTGTTCTTCAGCTTCTTTTCTTTCATCTGTTCTAGCTTGCTTGCATGTGATATTAACTTGCTGATCTTATTTTCTAGTCTAACCTTCCATTTTTCTGGTGCACTGTTTGTTTTGTTTTTCTTCTTTGTTGATTGTGCATCCCAGGTATTCTGTTATAACTGCAGCTGTGCTGTACATTAGTTGGTTTGTTTCTTGCAATGAATTGGTGCTTATATTTGATATTGCAATATTTGCATCTTTTAATGCTTGTGCTAGCTGTTTCTTTGGAACAAGCTTCAATGCAGGCAGCCTTATTCTGTTGTTTTTGTGCTGTTCTAGATGCTCAGTTATTCTTTGTTTCAATTCTTTTATTTCTTTAGTTAGAGGGTTTTGTTCTTCCTGAGGTAGAGGTGCCTGGTTTCCAAATGAGAACAATTGTATATCTCTGCTAGATTCCTTCACTTCCAACTCCCCCTGGTTTGCCTCTACATTCTGAATTACTTCTGGTAAGGCTTTGATTTCTTTGCCCTGGGTAAACATTTGCAGTTCGTCCAATTCTGTTTCTGTAAATATTTTATTTCGTGTTATAAATCGGCGTTGATCTGCTAGTCTCTGTTCTGTTATTTCTGATTCTGGATGTTGTTCTTTCCAGAACTGTTGCATTCGTTTTAGATATCCTCTTCTTGTTGGAATTGATCTGTAGTAACAGATCATTATTTCTTTATTTTCCATCACTGTGTATCTGCGACGGGTAAACACCTTTTCTTCCAGTAGTTCTGCAGCTGCTGGCCCTGGTTGCTCAGCCAACAGTCCTGAGTCCTGTAACCCATTTTTCACCAGATATCCAGGAACTCCAATATCTAGTGCGACCTTGTTTAGACCCGGTGCAACGTCCGAGCCGGTATGGCATTCTGCAATTTACGTCTCACCATTTTTTTTATGGGAGAGACACTCTTTGTCTGACTCCTCTGATGAGACCTGTCCAGTATGGTTGAACCTCTGGCATAGCTCTCATCTTCCTCAGAGTACACAAGCCCCACAACCACGTCAAGGTAGTGCCTCACTGGGGTATTATTTATTATTTCTTATTATTATTATTATTATTATTATTATTATGGATCATCGCACAGTCAGCCAGGATGTTCAGACTGTGTTTGGCTTTTGTCTACATATCGATCCTTGACCCAGGAACCTGGGATTGGCGATGTGGATGTTTTGATGAGTATTTACAGATATCGTCGCAGGAATGAAGCGTTCCTAGTATGAGTGCCGCCTTTTGCAATTGACTAATATATTTGTCATTGCCAATTATTATTATTTATTATTTATGTATCATCGCACAGTCAAGCCGATGTTCATGACTGGATTTGGCATTTTGTCTACTTATCGAGTCCTTACCCAGGACCTGGGATAGGCAGATGTGGATGTTTGATGGTATTACAGATATCGTCGCAGGATGGAAGCAGTTCCTAGTAAGGCCGCCTTTTGCAATTGACTAATACCGAATTTGTCAATGCCAATGGTGTTCAAGTGGTGCTCCAGTTGTTTTGGGATTGCACCCAAAGACCCGATTACTATTGGTACTACCCTTGCTTGCTTTTGCCACAGTCTTTCTATTTCTATTTGTAGGTCTTTGTATTTTGTTATCTTCTCCAGTTCTTTCTCGTCTATTCTGCTGTCTCCAGGCACTGCCACGTCCACTATCCAGATTTTTTTGTCTTTCTTATCGACAATTGTTAAGTCTGGGGTGTTATGTTGCAGGTGATTGTCTGTTTGAATTCTGAAGTCCCAGAGCAGTTTAATTTTATCATTTTCTATGACTTTCTCTATTTTATGATCCCACCAGTTTTTGCTTACAGGCAAATGATATTTTTGCAGATCTTCCAATGCACCATTGTTGCTACTTTGTCATGCCGCTGCTTGTAGTCAGTCTGTGCAATCTTCTTGCAACAGCTTACCAAGTGGTCCACTGTTTCTTCAGCTTCTTTGCATAGGCGGCACTTACTGTCTGTTGCTGTCTTCTCAATTTTGACTTTGTATGCGTTTGTCCTTAAGGCTGGGTCTTGTGCAGCCAGAATTAGTCCCTCGGTCTCTTTCTTCAATTTTCCTGCTCTTAGCCATTGCCAGGTTTTATTATTATCTGCTTTCCCAGCTATTTTTTTCATGTATTGGCCATGTAGTGCTTGTCTTCCCATGCCTCTATTCTGTTCTTCATTTGGTCTTTCTTGTAGGCCAGTTTGGTCTCTCCAGTAGTCAGTAAGCCTTCCTGATATACTAATTTCAGTGCATCTTCATCATTGTTCTTCAGATATTCTTCCAAAGCCAATTTTTTCTTCTTCAACCATCTGATGTACTTGTAGCATTCCACGCCCACCTATTTGCCTTGGTAGATAAAGTCTATCAATGTCACTGCGTGGATGAAGGGCATGATTCATTGTCATTATTTTTCGGGTCTGCCTATCCATTGCTTTTAGTTCTGCTTGAGTCCAGTCCACTATTCCAGCTGTGTACCTAATGACTGGGATTGCCCAGGTGTTGATTGCCTTTATGGTATTTCCTCCATTGAGTTTGGACTTTAAGATCTTCTTCACTCTCTTGAAGTATTCACCTCTAATCTTTTTCTTGACTTCAGTGTGCTTGATGTTGTCAGCTTGAAGAATACCCAAGTATTTGTAGTACTCTTCCTCATCCAGACTCTTAATGTTATTTTCGTGCGGCATCTTGATTCCTTCAGTTTTCACTATTTTTCCTTGTTTGATAGTAAGTGTGGCACATTTGTCCAAGCCAAACTCCATTACAATATCTTGGCTATATATACGGACAGTGTTGAGCAGCGATTCTATTTCAGATGATGTTTTTCCATACAGCTTCAGATCATCATCATCATTATTATTATTATTATTATTATTATTATTATTATTATTATTATTATTATTATTGATCATCGCATAGTCAGCCAGACGTTCAGACTGGATTTGGCATTTTTGTCTACTTATCGAGTCCTTCTCAAGGACCTGGGATAGGCAAATGTGGATGGTTAATGGTATTACAGATATTGCAGGATGGATGCAGCTCCTAGTAAGGCTGCCTTTTGCAATTGACTAATGGCAAATTTATCAATGCCAATGATGTTCAAATGGTGCTCCAGTTGTTTTGGGATTTCACCCAAGGCACTTATTACTACTGATTCCACCCTTGCTTGCTTTTGCCACAGTCTTTCTATTTCTATTTGTAGGTCTTTTTATTTTGTTATCTTCTCCAGGTCTTTCTCGTCTATTCTGGTGTCTCCAGGCACTGCCACATCCATTATCCAGACTTTTTTGTCTTTCTTATTGACAATTGTTAAGTCCAGGATGTTATGTATTATGTTTGAATTCTGAAGACCCAGAGCAGTTTAATTTTATCATTTTCTATGACTTTCTCTATTTTATGATCCCACCAGTTTTTGCTTACAGGCAAATGATATTTCTTGCAGATCTTCCAATGCATCATTGTTGCTACTCTGTCATGCTTCTTCTTCTTCTTCTTCTTCTTCTTCTTCTTCTTCTTCTTCTTCTTCTTCTTCTTCTTCTTCTTCTTCTTCTTCTTCTTCTTCTTCTTCTTCTCTTCTTCTTTTTCTTCTTCTTCTTAATATTAATATTATTATTCTTATTATTTTCTTCTTCTTCTTTCTTCTCCTCCTCCTCCTCCTGTTCTTCATTCTTCTTCTTCTTCTTCTTCTTCTTCTTCTTCTTCTTCTTCTTCTTCTTCTTCTTCTTCTTCTTCTTCTTCTTCTTCTTCTTCTATTATTATTATTATTATTATTATTATTATTATTATTATTATGTATTTTATTGTTTTTATTATAAATTGCCTAGAGTCACATAAAAATCAAATGAGTGGCTGTATATTTTAAGCATCATCAAATTATCTGAAGGCAGGACAAGAAGCAATGGATGGAAAATAACTAAAGAAAGAAGCAACCTAGAACTAAGGAGAAATTTATTGATAGTTAGAACAATTACTTAGTGGAACAGCCTGCCTCCAGAAGTTGTGAATGCTCCAACACTGGAGTTTTTTAAAGAACTAATTGGACAACCATTTCTCTGAAATGGTATAGGGTTTCATGCTTGATCACAGGGTTGGACTAGAAGGTGTCCAAGTTTCCTTACAACTCTGTTAGTTGATTATTCATTCACTTATCACCTTTATTATTTTTATAAATCACTGAACAACAAACACAATACTCCTTCCTTCATTTATTTTTCTCACAACAACCCCAGGAGATAGGTAGATAACCTTTATTGTCATTTTTTACTGTGGGCACAATGACACACATTAAAAATGAAATTTAGTTGCTTGGTCTCAAAGTGTACACATACATAATACACATTTAAACATTCTATATACAACATATATATAGACCTACATCTTTACATATAAGTACATACATATAAATATTAATCACTGTCCATCTTTAATACAAGGTGGATTGGGCTGAGAGAGACTGATTGGCTGGCTTCCATGCCTAAGGTGAGGCTAGAATTCATAGTTTCCAGTTTCTAGCCTATGCCTTAACTGCTGGATCAAACTTTCTCTATAAATGTGAATAGAAGAAATAGATGAATAAATAAATAAAGTCCAAACACCTCAAGGAAAGTTTTCTGTCCTAACTACCACTATAAAAATGGATTATTTTTTCCAGGATGTCCTTTCACCAAAGTCTATTTTTTTCAAGAATCTTTTTAATTATCATTTTAACCTTTTGGTTTCTCAATGTGTAGATAAGTGGGTTCAAAACTGGGGTAATTGCACTATAAAGGACTGTTATTATCACATCACGTTGTGAAGGGGTACCCATTGTAGGAAGCATGGAATTAAATAACACGGGAACATACAGTAAAGCCACCACAGTCATGTGGGACCCACAAGTGGAGAAGGCCTTTTGCCAACCACTCCTGGATTTAACTTTTAAAAGAAGGAAACTAATAATATAAATGTAAGAAATAAGTATGAAGATAAAAGGGCCCATAACAAAACAGGTAGTCCCAATAGTGAGCATTATAAGGTTGAGGTGTATGTTGCCACAGGCCAATTTCAACAAAGGCTTGATGTCACAGACAAAGTGTTCAATTTGATTCAGTCCACAGAAGGGTAGATGAGCAGTCATCACTGCATGCATCAAGGCTTGAGTAAAACTGGAAGACCAGGCAGTTGCTACCATTAGAATACAGATCTCTTTTCTCATGATGACAGAATAGCGCAAGGGGTTGCATATTGCAACATAGCGGTCATAGGCCATGATTGCAAGAAGTATACCTTCAGTACCACCCATGAGGTAGAAGAAGAAGAGTTGGACCATGCAGCCATTGAAGGAGATAGGTTGATACTTTATTAGAAATCCTTGTAGCATCTTTGGACCAGTTACTGTGGAAAGAATGATGTCAAGACAGGAAAGATTTCCAAGAAAAAAGTACATGGGGCCATGTAGCTGAGGTTCAGATAAGACTATAATGATAATAGCTGCATTCCCCACTAAGGTGGCCATATACAACAGAAGAAAAATTGTAAATACTACATACTGAAGGTCCAAGTCATTGTTCAGACCCAACAAGATGAATTGTCCCACCTTCGTTTGGTTCTCCATCACTAATAAGGAAGAAGAAAGTCATAAATATGGACAGAGATAACCCTTCTGTGTTAACATATGCAGTACCTGAATGAAGAATAAATCAGTGATATATATAATAATGTAATAAATCCCTCAAAGCCAAGATTGTTAAATAAAGGCTATCATACTTTGACCATGTAATGTGTGTTAATACACTGGAAAAGCCAAATATGCTGTGTTATTTAGCAGAAAAAGAAGAAGGGTCTACCCTAGTACCTGATAGATGGACATATAAAGGATGACATTAGGCAGATCTGAGAGGCAGTGCAATACAGAGGGGAATGGAGAGTGTTGATCCATCTACAGAGTGGTTGATGGTTGGATATAACTGAATGTCTAACAATGATGATGTCCAGTAATATAAACAAAAAGGCAACTATGAAGCTAAGGCTTCATATACAAGAAGGACATTATACAAGAAGAACATTATACAAGAAGGACATTATAATAGTTATATCAGCCTAAAATTTGAGACTCAAAATCTGGTAAAAATATAGTTTAATTAAATATATTAAAACAGTAAAAATATGAGGTAAAATTGAAGTAAAGTAAAAGTATACCAACTCTTTACTCCTTTTTATCAAAATTGCTGCAGAGAGACACTTAACAACTTTATTAGGGTATCAATCTCCAAATAAAAAGCATACGTGTTAGAGACTGGATTTTATTTGGGGATGGTAAAGGGGTACATCTACATGTAAAATGAGAGAGAGAGAGAGAGAGAGAGAGAGAGAGAGAGAGAGAGAGAGATCAAAATTGGTGCAGAGGACACCAGAAAAAAAGACCCAAGGAAAATGTTGGATAGTATGCAATGCAAAGATGAGTGAGTAATTAGTAAATGCAAAAGATTTCTAATAGAAAACTGACAATATTATTCAGATCTATCCACTGAACTGTATGAAAAACTCTTATATGGATTTTGGCTGTATTTCTCTCTAAATTTAGGAACAGACAGTGCTTTTTTTCTAAAAAAAAAAAAAGGTGTCGAAACTCACACATGTCATACAACCCGCCTTGCCTACCCTACAAGGTTCCATCCAAAAAAAACACCGTTCTGGGTGTTCTATGGGAAAAAAAGCCCTGGGAACAGCAATGAGTAGAAAGGCAGCTATAATGAAGGTAATTTGAGGTTTTGTTTGTTTGTTTGTTTCTACAAACAATATTCAATATTCCATTAGAAATGGAAGCCAATAAGAGAGTCAACAAATGCTGATCTTACCTCCAGTGGAATCCAGTGTGGATTTAAACACTGAAAAAAACAGAATTTATTTATTTATTTATTTATTTATAAGACTTATATACCGCTTTAAGTGCAAGCACTCTCTAAGCGGTGTACACCAGTAAGCAATGTATATATATATTTACATTGCCCCCAACAATCTGGGTCCTCATTTTACCTACCTCGGAAGGATGGAAGGCTGAGTCAACCTTGAGCCGGTGAGATTTGAACCGCTGACCTGCTGAACACAGTCAGCTAAAGTGGCCTGCAGTACTGCACTCTAACTGCTACGCCACCTCGGTTCATGAATGAGATACAGAAAAGTACATGCAAAAGCCAATAACGTCTGAGAACTTTGATTCATGTGGATCCATATACCATTTGAAATGTAGTTTTAATTTTGAAAAGATTGAGGATGACAAGTATGCATCTGTTTCCTTTGGAGTACAAAATATTCCATAATTGGTAGAATTGCTGTTTTTGATGAAATGACTCTATTTGTTTCCATCAAACTCCAGAGACTTGAAAAAATACATCAGTGTATTTGAAACATGGAACATGTTCAAAATCTTTATTTCAAATTTTGCCATTGGTATTTGTTGCAATTAGGTTTGAAGATGAAACACTAAGTATAGTCTTTGATTGATTGATTGATTGAAAACTCTTCGGTTTACACAATTCCATTAATGAAATTTCATTTAGACAGATCCATCTATCTAAGTGAAATAACTGCTGCATTATCAGCATATAACATTACTGTTAAATGCCTGTCACTAAGTTGTATTGATATTTAAGTACAGAGAACTAAAATACAACTCTTTCATTCATAAATGGATTGCAATATCTGCAAATGAGATCGTTAGCTCTATCAAATTTAACATAGGTGATGTATTTGTTTTTTTTTTAAAAAACACATTGTCCTAATTATGAAGAGTAGCCACTAAACAATAGACATGAAACCATCACAGAGTGACCAATTATTTAATTAAATAAATCAAGTCATAATTTTAAATACAATTATTTAGAGAGCCATAATAATAAAAATGTTATATAGGCATTATTAATTTTGTTAGTTTGGAGTTTTATGCAAATATATAGAATATACATTGCATTTAATATAGGTTAAAGTCAAAAACTGCATGTAAGGATGGATTGTAACTAAGTTTCATTTGCAAAACATCATATACTTTTATGAAAATGCTGCCATTATAATAACACAGAAATGGTGCATAATATTTGTTGTCTAACATGAAAAGATATTGTAACCTGAATAGTATTAACTTCATTACTACTACTATTATTATTATTATTATTATTAAACATACACAGAAAGAAATATTTAAATCTCCTTGCTTCCTGAAATGGGCTTCTGACTTGACAACTTTACCAAAAGCCTCAGGAAAATTTTTCTTTCTTCTGATTCTTATGAAATCCTTGTTCATTCTAGCCAATAAATATGTCATAATATACTTATTAATGTGTGATAACATATTTTTTTGATATGTTATCATGTTACATATTCCACCCCTCCCCACCACCATCGCCCATGAGCGCTTTTCTCTGGATATACCAGTTTTTAAGATGTTATACTTGCACATTTGCACAAATAGTAATAGTAGTAAAGTTGGAAGGGACCTTGGAGGTTATCTAGTCCAACCCCCTGCTCAGGCAGGAAACCCTACACCATTTCGGACAAATGGCTGTCCAGTCTCTTCTTAAAAACTTCCAGTGTTGGAGCATTTACTGCTTCTGGAGGCAAGCTGTTCCACTGATTAATTGTTCTCACTGTCAGGAAGTTTCTCCTTAGTTATAGGTTGCTTCTCTCCTTGATGAGTTTCCACCCGTTGCTTCTTGTCCTGCCTTCAGGTGCTTTGGAAAATAGCTTAATTCCCTCTTCTTTATGGCAGTCCCTGAGATATTGGAATACTGCTATCATGTCCCCCCTTGTCCTTCTCTTCATTAAACTAGACATACTGAATTCTAGCAATCGTTCCTTATATGTTTTAGCCTCCAGTCCCCTAATCATCTTTGTTGCTCTTCTCTGTACTCTGAATGGAGTACAGAGATGTACTCCATCCAGAGAGAAAGAATTGATCAAATAGAATCCCCATGAATAAATAAATTGCTTGCAGTTAATTTACATTTGTTAAATAGTCAGACTATTCATACCTTAAGAATATCTCCTCCCTATCAAGAATAAAAGCTAGGAAAAAAATAAGCTACAGGAGTTCAAGTGTGTGTATTTAAATGGGAGGCAAAAAATAAACCCCTAGAGCAGAATGTATTCCCAGTGATTTCTGAATCTGCATCAGATATTTAGGTTTCAAACATTATTGGCTAACATGGGAGGAAAGAAGGAATAATCCTTGAAGCAAAATATTCATGTGGAGAAAATCTACTGAATGTGAGAATGTAAACAATTTGTTTTACCAATTAATGCTATTTTAGCATTTTTTATTTATTGCTCAAGGTTATTTTTCCAAGACCTTGAAATATTGCCACAATTTGTTTCTCTTACTGACAATAAAAATACAGTTATAATTTGCTTATTTTTTCTGTACAGATAAATTGTAACCACCAACAAATATACATGAAAATTAATGTGAATTACATGGACAAAGGACTAGAATCCTGAGCAGTATTCAGACTTCACATGCTATGATACATATTAAATCTTTATTTCCTTTATATTCCTTTTATATGTAAGTCATATCCAACAACTTGTAATAATTATTGCAGTGGCACATACATGTATACATACAGTACATACATACATCTTTCTAGAAAAGATTAAAGCCCTTAAGGATAGAGGAGGATGAGATAATGATCTCATTTGACGTTACCTCACTCTTTACCTCTATCCCCCAAGATCTGGTGGTCTCGGTAATAAAGGACCACCTAGAGGAGGAGCAGGAACAACACGTGGATCTTCTCAACACCAATGACCTGATTCAGCTGTTATCTCTATGCCTGAAAACATATTTTACTTTTCAAGGCACTATATATGAACAAATAAAAGGGACACCGATGGGATCCCCCATCTCAAGCATTATTGCAGAGGTGGTGCTACAGCGGTTAGAGACAATAGTAATGGCTAGATATTGCCCTAAATTTTGGATACGTTATGTGGATGATATTTTTGTAATTATCAAAAGATGAAACAGCATCAAATTCCTGGAACAGTTGAACTCCGTATATCCGGACATCCAGTTTATGACAGAGGAAGGCCTTTTAGTCAGTCAATGTCCTAACCATACATTATGTACATCTATCTATCGTAAACCTATTCATATGGACAGAACGCTGCACTACAGGAGTAATCATCCTGTAGCGCACAAAATTATTTGTATTAGGACTTTATTCAAATGGATTGATTCCCATTATAGCATGGTTAGAGCCAAAATTGAAGAGAGAAAACATCTATATCGCACCTTTAGGCTCAATGGCTACCCCGCAGAATTTGTGAGACATTACAGCAGACCACATCAACCGCATAGGGCCCAGTCCTCCAGAGTAATGATGATAATCTTACCTTACATATGTGGTGTTTCCAAAGCCATGGCATGGCTAATTAGCTACCTGCAATGTTAGCATTGCCCATAGGCCAGAGCAGACCCTAAGAACTAAGATCATGCATCCTAAATAGCCACTCCCCAATGGTGAGCAATCTTCTATAGTTTATAGAATTAACTGCAGGAACTGCCTCTGAAATTACTTTGGGGAAATAGCCAAAAGGCTCAGGACTAGGGTCCATGAACATAAACTGGCAATTAAAAGGCAGGAGCAGCGCTCAAAAGTGTGGACCCACATGGCCAACCTGGACCATACATTTGTTATTGGACCCATGTCCTTCTTGGTTGGTCTCGGCTGCCAAGGAGGTGACATGAGGCTGGCTCCAGGTGTTGATCAATGCTTTGTTGAGGGAGGGGTCCTTCCCGCAACCCTTGAAGGAAGTGGTTGTGAGGCCCCTTCTCAAGAAGCCTACCCCGGACCCAGCTGATTTAAATAACTTCCGTCCAGTCTCCAATCTCCCCTTTTTGGGGAAGGTTGTGGAGAGAGTGGTGGTGCTCCAGCTCCAACGGTCTCTGGATGAAGTGGATTACCTAGACCCTTTTCAATCTGGCTTCAGGCCCGGCTTCAGCACAGAAACTGCTTTGGTCGTGCTGATGGATGATCACTGGCGGGCCCGAGACAGGCGTTATTCCTCTGTCTTGGTGCTACTTGACCTCTCAGTGGCTTTTGATACCATTGATCATGGTATCCTTTTGCGACGACTTGGAGGGGTGGGAGTGGGAGGCACCGTTTTATGGTGGTTCTCCTCCTACCTCTCTGGCCGGTCACAATTGGTATTGGTGGGGGGGCAGAGGTCAACCCCAAAGCCCCTTGAATGCGGGGTGCCACAGGGGTCGATCCCTTCCCCCCTCCTATTTAACATTTACATGAAGCCACTGGGTGAGATCATCAGACAGCACGGGGTGAGGTTCCATCAGTATGCTGATGATACCCAGCTATATATCTCTTCCCTGAGCTCTCTCAGTGAAGCGGTGGATGTGATGGGCCGTTGCCTTGAAGCCGTGAGGGTCTGGATGGGGGTTAACAGACTCAGGCTCAATCCTGACAAGACCAAATGGCTTTGGATGTTGCCTCCCAAGGATCATGTTAACTGTCCAGTGTTGACTGTAGCAGGGGAAAATATACCCCCTTCGGAGCGGGTTCGCAACTTGGGTGTCCTCCTTGATCCACAGCTGAAATTGGAACATCATTTGATGGCTGTGGCTGGGAGGACCTTTGCACAAGTTCGTCTGTTGCACCAGTTGTGACCCTACCTGGACCGGGAGACTCTCCTTACAGTCACTTATGCCCTCGTCACCTCACGCCTGGACTACTGCAATGTGCTCTACATGGGGCTACCCTTGAAAAGTATTCGGAGACTACAGTTGGTCCAGAATGCAGCCACGCAAGTGATAGCGGGTGTTGCTCGGTACACCCACGTTACACCTATCCTTTGCGAGCTGCACTGGTTGCCTATTGGTCTCTAGGTCCAATTCAAGGTGTTGGTTATTACCTTTAAAGCTCTATATGACTCAGGGCCAGGCTATTTGCGAGAACGCCTACTACCTCATAGTTCCCTTCATCCGGTTAGATCCCACAGGCTGGGCCTCTTTCAGGTTCCGTTGGCCAAGCAATGCCATTTGGCAGGGCCGCGGGGGAGGGCTTTCTTGTGATGGCGCCCACATATTGGAACCAGCTCCCCCCAGTGATTAGAACCACTCCCACCCTGTTGGTTTTCCGCAAGCTGCTTAAGACCTGTTTTTTCCGGCAGGCCTGGGGTTTATAAAATCTGACCCCTGGATGAATGCTACTGTATTGTTTGTCTTATTAAGTTATATTGTGTTTTTATTGTTAGCTGCCCGGAATCCTGCGGGAGTGGGGCGGTTTATAAATTTTAATAAATAAATAAATAAATCTGGAAAACGCACAGGCCATATCTCATGAGACCACCAAGGGTGGCTGCCTTTTTCAAAGAAGCCTGGCTTTTGGATGAAAACTCCCTCAACCAGCACATAGACCACCTACTGGCATACCAGACCCTTAGAAAGTGGAAGAGTCAATGTTGCAATCCACAGAGTAGATGACCACCCCTTACGGTGCAAAAGCAAGATCATGATTTTACAAATGGGGAAACTGAGATCCCTAGGGAGGACAGTGAATCAGAAAAAGGAGAGGGAGGCCAGGGAATATTACAATGAGATAGCAACAGGCAAGACTGGAATGACAGGGCTATGGATGAGGCAGTAACAGCTGTAATAATAATAATAATAATAATAATAATAATAATAATAATAATAATGTTGGAAGGGACCTTGGAGGTCATCTAGTCCACCCCTCTGCTTAGGCAGGAAACCCTATACATTCGGACAAATGGCTGTCCAGCATGGAAGCAGCTCAGAAGGAGAGACAAAAAGGGGAGGAGAATAGTGAGCAGGAAGATCTTAACAGCTGCTCCTTGCAGGATTGGGGAGAGAGAACTACAGGTGAGACAACGGTGGCCATAGGGGAAGATGACAGCCCTACAGGGTATTTGAAATGCAGATTGAGAGATCGCTCCAAAATGAGAGAGGGGGGAGAGATAGGGGGCAGAGACAGCTTGACAGCAATCCCCCATGCGTTCGCACACGCACTAGAACAGTAATGGAGGATCTGGGCATAACCACTGGGTCCATCAACAGGCTGCCGGATGTGAATCAACTTAGCACAGTGCAAATTAATACAAATAATGGACCAATTATGCGCTTGGGAAGCCAGGCACAAGACAGGTAACTAGGGGCTGATGTCCCGGGGGGGGGATATGATCGGACATGCTGTATGATTGTATTATTTTATTGTTTTATTGTTAGATGATTGTTTTAATTTTGTATGTCGCCCTGAGTCCTTTGGGATTGGGTGGCATATAAATAAAATAAAATAAATAAATAAATATAGGCAAGCTTCCTAATCACCTAGCATTCCAACCCTGATGACGTTGGCAGTCAGGCCGATGAAAGCTTGGTAACTCTTTTACTTACAAACTTGTTTGTATTAAACAGGTTTGTTTTATTTTTATCCTGGTGTTCGTTTTTTCTATATTTTATTGATACATACATACATACATACATAATAGTAGAATTGGAAGGGATCTTGGGGATCTTCTAGACCAGCCCCATGCTCAAACAAAAGACCTTAATACCATTTAAGATAAATGGCTGTCCAGTTTTTTTTCTTAAAAGCCCCACTGATGGAGCACCCACAACTTCTAAATGCAAACTGTTCCACAAGTAATTGCTCTCACTGTCGGAAAATTTCTCCTCAGTTCTAGCTTGATTTTCTCTTTAATTACCCATTGCTTCTAGTTTGCTTTCTGGTGCTTTGGAAAATAGGTTGTCTCCCTCAAATACTGGAACACTGCTATCATGTCACCCCTAGTCCTTCTTTTCACTAGCCCAGACACACCCAATTCCTGCAGCTGTTCTTCATATGTTTAGCCTCAGTCCCCTAATCATCTTTGTTGCTTTTATGTGCACTCTTTCCAGGGTCACAACATCTTTTTATATTATGATGACCAAAACTGGACATAATATTCCAAGTGTGGTCCTACTAAGGCATTATAAAGTGGTACTAATACTTAATGTGATCTAGCGCTCTGTTAATTCACTTAGGATTG